ATGAGCTTAGAAACACAGAGAATGCTGAGAACATTCAGCCTTTAATGAATTCTCTTAATGTCAACCTTAGACAGTTGGAAGAAGAGAAGGCAAATATTGATGGTGAATTAAATGATCTGCGCAGAGAAAGGGAGAACTTGCTAAAAGAAAGAAAAGGTAAAGGTGCTAAAGTATATTTTTGCTATTCATACAACCTGAGCTCCAAACAAATAAACAGATATTGATAATTAACAACTGGCCCACTCTGTCCAGAGGGAAAATATTATGTTCCTCTTACCTGTTCCATGGCAGGATCCAAGCAGTTTATTTACTAAACTTTGGATCCTGGTATCAACCAAGCATTTCTGTCTGAATATCTTTAATATTCATTTTTTCATATTATGATTCTTTATCGAATATTCGTAGAAATTCTAAGACTTGCTAGATGTTGGGGAATAGTTTTGGGGAACGAGATTTATATAAGCGTATAAATACATCTTTGGATTTTGTCTTATTCTCTAGTTATAATTTATACTAACAGAAAGATTGATGTTGAGGAAAAGGGTGGCTATTGCTATGAGAGCTACACATCTTTTGAATAGCACTTGCTATACGTTTGTTTTCTGGTGGAAATTCAGCAACTCTTGTTGGATGATCTCACAGGAATAGTTCATAAGTCTCCATTAAGTTCTTGTAAACAGTAGCCTCTGTAAAAGAGCAGAAAAATACCCAATTAAGTATGTCTTCGCAGTCTATTAGTAAAATGGGAGGGGGGCTATATTTGTAATCATATATTACAGTAAATATTTCAGGGGTTATTAAAATTACAGGTATAGCAGACCGCATTGCTCAATTTGAAAATCTGATGAATATGAAGGAAGAAAAGCTGAGAGGGAGATTCCGAGATACACATGATGCTCTTATGTGGCTAAGACAGAATAGAGGGCAATTTAAAAGAAGCGTCTGTGACCCTGTGTTGCTTTCAGTAAGCTGATTCACTTTAATATTATTACTAAAATTTAATCATTACTTCCGTTATAATCTTATTTTTAAAACCTTTTCTAAGCAATCCATTATTTTATTATCAACGGGGATATGTGCATTTTGACGTCTTAAGTTAGCTATGTCAGTATAATTTGTCTCGTGAAACTTAAGTACAAAAAATTTAGAATCAAAGATTTTTGTTCTGATGCTTTATTATATGCCTGTGTTATAAAGAGTATTCACAAAAATGTCAGAATTCGGATACATTAACATTTTTAATTATTTAATTTTGAGATGATATCATGCTTATTACGTGAAGGTAATAATAACAATATGCTCACAAATTGCAACCTGTTGAGTACTTGGGGAGAGGGCTTTGTTGCATTCGTGGTTGCAATATATACGAAGTATAACAATTTTCCTTAGTGGGTACTGTTCGGTATAGGTCTTGTTGGAGAACAGGTTGCTTTTCACAGTCATGAATGATTGCTCTATAGCAGCATATTATGTGGAGGGAATGGTGCACATTATTTTAAAAAAAAACGGGTTTTGGATTTTCTAAATGCAATTCTTTTTGTAACTGTAGTTTCTTTTCTGCAGATCAATATGAAAGATAATAAACACGCTAAATATGTAGAAAATCACATTTCTGCTAATGACATGAAGGCCTTTGTCTTTGAAATGAAGGAAGATATGGAAATATTTTTAAAAGAGGTAAAAGTCTGTTCACATGATTAGAAACTGGTGGTGTAGGAGACTTAATAATAAGTAGGCTCTGTGGCATCCAGCACCATGTGTCATTACTGGCATTATAATAGCACTAAGAATACTTAATTAAATAGCATTCCCACCTATGCAATATAATTATATATTTTAGAAATTTATCTTGTTGGGCAAGTAGAATGGGGCAGGGGACTCTATTCTGTTCAACAGTAAAGATGAATATTTGAAGCTTCAGGCCTCTCTCTCTCTCTCTCTCTCTCTCTCTCTCTCTCTCTCTCTCTCTCTCTCTCTCTCTCTCTCTC